TTTGCTTGGAGTTAGTGTTTTTTTATTGCTGAATCTAGCAGTAATGACTGATTCACAAAATGTACATCAGTCTAATGCTGATGAGATAAAACACATTCATTATTTTCAAATACTTTATTGATGTGCCAAAAATATATCATGCAATCCAGTGAAATTAATCAATATTTTGTGCCTGATTTGCAATTTGTGTATCAAACAGCATGGCAGGGTTTTTATAATTCACTATATTGACTATGTAAGCATTTTATTAAATGAAAACGCAGTTGAAGCTTTGGAAATTGTATTCCCTGAAACCAACAGATCACCCTGCATCAAATAACAAGTAACTAATTCATGTACATCACAGAAACGTCCTTCCCGAATTCCAGAATTTTGGGTCATCTTGAACGACTCAAATATGCTGACATGTAACCATATCAGAGTCAAAAAATAATCATTTCAAAGTTCACCCCTGAGACCTTTCTGATCATAAAGTCTCCTGTTTCACATCCCTCATGTACAGTATGGTTCTTTGCTTTTGCAGATCTAAAACAAAATTCGCAAAGGTCATATCACTGAAACTTTTCAATTCCGTCTGATATCAACATGATTTTGAGCTTGATTTGTTTGAACAATAGCAAAAATTGAATTGGTTGAAAGTCCAACCTTCAAAGCCAGTGCTGCCGGTTAAACCAGGTACTGTACAGTTTTCACACATTCCTCTAAATAACTCAAAATGATGGATGACAGCTGGTTTCTTTCCACTTCAATGCCTGACCTTGATTTCTTGAATATTAGCCAGGTGTCACCTAAACATGTTTAATGACCAAAATAATTTACCGTAACTAGTCTAATACAAAGCCTAACTTACATTTGCTTTATTTTGATCTATCCCCACATTTATTTCTTCGCACTTCGGCTCCTTAGTACAAAATAGTTTTTGTACATGGGAACATAACAATGCATTCAGATACAGTACTTGCTTCCATGCAGGACAAAACCGTCAGTTTCATGAGGAAACTCATGAGCACATGAGGGCTGCTGAAGCATTTTCCTGCATTTGTTTATTGCAGGGATAGAAAAAAGCAGAAGCTTCTCTTCCAAGTTCAACGAAATTCAGGTGACATCTAGTTAGTGGAAATAAATAATTCTGACATTGAAGTGAAAAGGCAAAATTCAGTTCCACGCCTCACTAAAATTCTGAGTTCAATCTCCAAAGCAGCTCTGAAATTCAACTGCTGTTCCTCCTCCCCAATAGGTAGTGGAAATAAATAATCCTGACATCGAAGTGAAAAGGCAAAATTCAGTTCCATCTCACTAAAATTCAGAGTTCAATCTCCAAAGCAGCTCTGAAATTCAACTGCTGTACCTCCTCCCAAATAACTTGCACGTGTGCTCTGTCAGCTCATCCACACAAAGAGATTAGAAGAATTTTTTTTTTGTCTTGGCAACTTGCATTAATGCGACTTACTCATCTCAGTCAAGAGTCTCAGAAAGTTGTACATCAACTCATGGAAAACATCAGGTTGGTCGATATAAGCGGGATGCGAGGCTTCCTCAATCATCACAACCCTACTAGTGGGGATTTTGCCCAGCTTTTCGCTCACCCTTTTCCCGTGCTGGTCCCGATCCCCGTACAAGACCAAGGTCGGCACCCGGAGTGACCCCAGGTACTCTTGGGTCAACTCGTCAGACATGACCGGCGCCACAGGCACAAAACCCGCAAACATCTCAGGCTTTGACCTGAGCAGTGACAAGGAAAACGTGCCAGACATGGAAGGGGACACAACAACAGCGGGTTTCAAGCCAGCTCGGCTGATGAACGCCTCCAGGAAGTCCTTTTGAAAGTGGGGAGCCACGGGGACGGCTGGAGTGAGCGACTCGGTGCCGCCGGGCAGATCGACTGCTACGACGTGGTGGCCCATGGCGGCCAACAGTGGCAGGGTGTGCAACTCTAGCCAGGTCTTCGAACTGAATGAGGCCCCATGCAGCAAAAGCACCTGAAAGATTGAAACAATTCCCAAGAATCAATCAACAGCAGAGAGGCGCCTAAAGCATAATACACACAATGCAACATGCAGAAAACTTGATTTATATGCACTTTGAACTCAAAAGCATCTGCTGCCCCAGCATTTCAAAATATGGATATGCCAAATGTTTCAGAACAAAAAGATTTAATTTTTTTAAATTTTGATATCCCTTGAATTTATTGAGCTACCATCATAAGGAAATTTGAATCTTACTAAAAATGCCCTCTGATGTATTTTCAAAACCGGCAAATATTGTGATTCTCTGCTGAGGGCTTTCCACTGTGCACATAGAATAAAGATATGAGTGCATGTTTCAATGCTCTTCAAACTCCTTTCAATGTCAAAAAAGGCAGATTTGGCATGGTTTTCTTTCGCAGTCATTTTCGGTGCTTTAAAATAGGAAAACAAATTAAATTTTAAGCATTTCATATCTGGATTGTTGCTGCTTACCTGCTGATGAGGTTGTGACAAGGAGCGAGTTTTGGCCTGGCGATAAAACACAGGCATCCCCATCACAAATATGCTCCCTTCCTGCACCTCAACATCAGGTAGTCTGGCAAGAACTGCTTCAGGGATTTTCCCAGTCAAATCCAAAGATTTCCAATCCTCTTTTGTCCTGAAAGTATATAAGGTATATCAAAGATGATGTAAACAAGATGAGTTCAGCAAAATCTTGGATGAAAAACAACCTGCTCAAATGCAAGTGCTGTATTCAAAATAATGAATGCGGATCTATAGGAATATTTCTTTAGTACTTTTACAATTTATTTACAGGGTTGGAGAAATCATGGGAAAGACATACAGTACTGTAATTGAATTGTTAAACAAGTCAACTCCAGTTCAACTGAGAATATTCAGGGACCCAAGGATTCCAGAAAAAAAGGGTTTATAAAAGTTATTGAGTTGGAAAATTTGGCTTCATTCTGGGAGATTATTCAGAAGAAATGAATTTCTGATCAAAATATAACAACCCCTATTGGTTCATAAATGTCCTACCTGCAGGAAGATGCCTAGTGCAGAGCATGAAGAAAAAATTTCAATATGTTTATTTTTGAAAAGAAGAGTTCTAAATCTAGCCCTAATTTAATAAGAGAAAATGCATTAAGGATATGACAAAAGGAGGAAGATAGGAAATGATTAACACTTTAGTTGATCTCTTCAGATTTCTACCTGGGAATTGTCCCTTTAAAAGGAGCTTCAGTCTGGTCTCCACCAATGCTGATGAATCCACTGGTTCCTGGTCCTCCAGACAAACATAATAGCATCACCATACAGATCGCAGCTCCTCCTGCAACTGCTTGATATTTCCGATTGTGTTTTGCAGATTCAAACCACACTCTGAATACCACAAAAAAATCATCTGCCTTATCCTTCATCCCTGGAAACTTAATACACTTCAAATGTTCTCTGCAAATAGAAAAAAATTCAACAGAGGCGCTTTTCTTGAAATCAAAAAAGGCATCACACAAAAAATTACACACAACTGAGGTTTGACATAAGAATCTTTCAATCCATGGGACAGAAAAAAAAAACTTCAGCATTCAATCCATTGGATCAACAACAACCGAAGTTGCACAAAAACCGAAAGAATGTACGACGGAATTGTAACAAGAATTTTCTTTTAAAAAATTAGTTTTTCAACCCAACATCTGGGTTAGAAATCAAACTAATACATAAAAACCCAGCAAAAGTTTCAAGTACAGTATCCGATTAAATTGTGAAGTATCACTTTCAGTTTTCTCTTATCTTCCACTCCACGGAAAAAAATTGTTCTTCTCCGCGAGAAAAGGCAGTTTTCGGAATAAAAACACATTTTCCAAAATACTGTACTCCTCCTCAAAATAAGTTTTCAAATATTTTTTCCTGTTTCTGAAACTAACCACAGAACAGTTTGCGTTCCAGTGAACTTGAAAATACCCAAGAAAAATGAAAGCTTTATTTGGGCAAAAGAATAAAATTTGAAAAATTCAGCGATTTATGAATAATTAGTATAGGACTTCATGGATGAAAATTTAAATGAGGGTCCCGACAATAATAAATATTGCAGTCTTTTTTTTCTCAAATCAACCGCATAAAATGTTCGGCTCCAGTGAACTTGAAAATCCTTGGGGCGAATGGAAGCTTTCATTGAGCAACTGATTTGAATTCTGAAAAATGCACTCGGAATTTTCAATAACTCTGAAGGCACTTCTGCAAAATAAAATGCAACTGAAGTTCCGAAACACAGTAGAACAATGCACATAATTCCAGTTGGTGAACCTAAAAAATCTATAAAATACCACGTTTCATCATTCGATTTTTGAGATTAAACTTCACTGATGTCTTTTAAAACTTCAGTAAAGGAGAAGTACGCGTAAAAAAATTCTATGAATACTACGTTATAATTTTGTGTGGATCAAGTGGAATGCTCAAACTTTTCATCTAAGTTTCGGGTAACATTTCAAATGGAATGTTGCTTTGCCAACAAGTTTTTTTTTCAATTAAAAAAATGTTTCCTTACAAGGCACAATGGAGAAAAAATGTGGCATTGCATCAGGATTTCAAAAATTGAATCACATACGTCAGAAATACATCTCCAGCTGATGTCGGAAATGCGGCGCCGGAAAAATTGCGCAACAAAAGTCAACAACAATCAACAAAACAAAAAAAACATTGATAGAAAGTCGAACTGCTTCAGAATATCACCAAACGTTTCTGCGATTCCTCCCGTTGTCTTCTTCTCTGTTTCTTTTGCTCCTCCATCATCAGGCCAATCAACAAAACAACATGAGCAACAATAGGTTTAGAATCCATCACTGTACAGGTAGCTCTCTTTGACATTTCAACCAAGTATACCCTTCTTTCTCTCAGTTTACTTTTCGTATACACAACAACAACGACACTCATTTGTTCGCA